TCCAGGCTGGTCTCGAACTGCTGACCTTAGGTGATCGACCTGCCTTGACCTTTCAAAGTGCTGGGATTATAGGTGTGAGCCACCACACCCAGCCTGATTATGTTTTTTGATACGCAGAAGTTTTCACGTTTAATGTCTATTTTTGCTTTCATTGCCTGTTTTTTAGTGTCATATCATTGGCCTAATCCAATGTTATGAAGCTTTCCTTCCATATTTTTTTCTAGGAGTTTTTACAATTTTGGGTATTATGTTTAGGTATTTAATTCATTTTGAGTTCATTTTTGTATATGGTGTAAAATAAGGGTCCAGTTTTACTCTTTTGCATGTGGCAATTTGGTTTTCCCAGCACCATTTGTTGTAGAGACTGTCTTTCCCAATTGAGTGGTCTTGGCACTTTTGTTGAATATCATTTGGCTACATATGTGAGGCTTTATTTTTTAATTTAATTTTATTTTTTTTGAGACAGAGTCTTGCTCTGTCGTCCAGGCTAGAGTGCAGTGGCGCGATCTTGGTTCACTGCAAGCTCCATCTCACAGGTTCACACCATTCTCCTGCCTCAGCCTCCCGAGTAGCTGGGACTACAGGTGCCTGCCACCACACCTGGCTATTTTTTTTATTTTTATTTTTAGTAGAGACAAGGTTTCGCCGTGTTAGCCAGGATGGTCTCGATCTCCTGACCTCATGATCTGCCTGCCTTGGCCTCCCAAAGTGCTGGGATTAGAGGCTTGAGCCACTGCGCCCGGCCAAGGCTTTATATTCTATTCCATTGGTTTATATGTCTGTTTTTATGCCGGTACCACACTGTCTTGATTACTGTAGCTTTGTAATATATTTTAAAATCAGAAAGTAGATGTTTTTGTTCTCTAAGAAATTTTTGCTTACATTAAAATTACAAAGATATTCTCTTAGATTTCCCTCTAGAAACTAGAGATTTTGGCTTTTAATTTAGGTCTATGATCTATCTTCAATTGATTGTTGTGTAGAGAGGATGTTTTGTCTATTTCCAGTTAGCCAAGAGAGTTAAAAAAAAATCATAAATAGGTGTTGAATTCTGTCAAATGCTTTTTCTGCTTCTACTGTGATAATCATATAGCTTTTGTCCTTTATCCTGTTGATGTGGTAAATTACATTTTTTGAATTTTGAATTCAAATCTGCATTCCTGGAGTAAACCCCACTTAGTCAAGATGTATTATTCTTTTAATATATTGTTGAATTCTATTTTACTCCTTAATGGAACTTTATTGTGTTATGGCCAGGAACCCTTGAGTGCCTAAAACCTTCTTGGTCCTGGACATCTATCCTCCCATGAGTAGAGTGGCCAATGGGAATCCAAAATACCATTTTACTTTGGTTTTCTTGGTTTTGCCTTAAAAATGCAGCATTTTTCTGGTAAGCGGAGATAGAGGCATATGATTTTGCCTAAGGCAGGCCCCTCCCTTTCCCTAAAGCCAAACCCGGATCTTACCCTAGCGGGCCATTAGAGACAAGAACACAAGTGAAAAACAGAATGGCTCCTCCAAGTGCATTTATAACAAGTGATCCCTGCTGGGCTCAGTGGCTCACACCTGTAATCCCAGTACTCTGGGAGACCAAGGTGGGAAGATCACATAAGCACAGGAGTTTGAGACCAGCATGGGCAACAACGTGAGACCCTGTCTCTACAAAAAATTTAAAACTTAGCTGGGCATGGAAGTGCGCACCTGTAGTCCTGGTGACTCAGGAGGCTGAGGCAGGAGGATCGCTAGAGCCCAGGAGTTCGAGGCTGCAGTGAGTTATGACTGTGCTGCTGTACTCCAGCCTGGGGAATAGAACAAGACCCTGTCTCAAAAAATAAAAATAAAATAAATAAAATAAAACAAATGATGTAAAAAACATGCTCTCTCAGTATTCGAGAGTCCATCCTGTTTGGATTAGCAAATGTTCTATTCTTGAGGAAACCCCAAGAAGGGCTTGAGAAGGGGGCTGGGAGCCTTCCCCACCTCCAAACAGCAAGCATATATCTTCTGTTCCATGTCCTGAGCGAAGGTATAGGTGGCCTCCAACCCAACTGGAATAAAGGCCCTGCCTCACATGTGCAAATGCTGCCTGCCCATGTAAGGGAGAGAAAATGCTGTTTCTCTGTTTTCGTTAAAAACAACCCTTTCAGCCCATCTCTGTTCTTATATTTGTGTGCCTCTTTTAAACAGTGTATAATTGAGTCTTATTTTTTTCATCCTGAAAATCTTTACCTTTTAATTGAATATTTAGTTCATTTAAATATCAGCAATTACTTACATAGTTGGTTTGAAGTGTATCATCTTGCTATTTATTTTTTCTGTTTATCCTATCCTTGGTTTCTTTTTTCTTCCTTTTCTTATTTCTTTTGGGTTAATCAAATATTTTAAAAATTGTTGTTTTGTGTGCTCTATTTGCTCTTTAAATGGTATCTTTTGTACTGTTCTTTTAGTGATCACCTTAGACATTATATGTATTCTTGACCTAGTGCTACTCCCTGTGCAAGAATCTTATATCACCCCCATGTTTATGTTATTATATATTTTATTTTTACATACGTTGTGTCTTCCTATAAGACATTGTTATTATTATTTCTTTCAGCAGTCAATTTCCTTTTATAGTTACTGACATATTTACCATTTCTGGTGCTCTTCAATCTTGAAATTCTAGGATTCTGTCTGCAATTGTTTTCCTTTAGTCTGAAGAACTTCCTATTTCTTATAGTGTTATCTGCCACTAATAAATTCTCAGACTGATAATTTTCAGATCAAATTTTCCAATCAATGAAAATATCTTTATTTTGCCATAAAATTTAAGACTATTTTACTGGGTATAGAATTCTCAGCTGGCAGTTTCTTTTCTTTCAGCATTTAACATACTCATTCAATGGTCTTCTGGTGTTCATATTTTCTGTTGAAAAGTCAGTTGCAAGTTGCTTCTTTGAAGGTAATTTGTCTTTTTTTCCTCTGGCTGTTTTTGGTTTTCAGCAGTTTGACTATGATATGCCTAAATGTGGTAGTGTTTGTATTTATTCTGCTTGGAGTTCACTGATCTTTTAAATCTAGAGGTTGATGTCTTTCATCAGTTTTGAAAAGCATTCAGATATTATCTCTTCACTATTACTTCTGCATTATTCTCTCTCCTCTCATTGTGGGGGTACTAACTATATGTGTGCTAGACTATTTGGCTTTGTCTTGTAGGTCTCTCATGCCTTTTTTTTTTTCATTTTTTTTTTCAAGCTCTGAATTCCACACTGTTTTTTTTGCTGACCTGCCTTCCAGTTCACGAACTCTATCCTCTTCTGTATGCAGCTTGCTATTACATCTATTGAATTAGTTCTTAATTTTAGATTTGTTTTGTTTTGTTTTGTTTTTTGAGACAGAGTCTCGCTCTGTCGCCCAGGCTGGAGTGCAGTGGCTGGATCTCAGCTCACTGCAAGCTCCGCCTCCCGGGTTTACGCCATTCTCCTGCCTCAGCCTCCCGAGTAGCTGGGACTACAGGCGCCCGCCACCTCGCCCGGCTAGTTTTTTGTATTTTTTAGTAGAGACGGGGTTTCACTGTGTTCGCCAGGATGGTCTCAATCTCCTGACCTCGTGATCTGCCCGTCTCGGCCTCCCAAAGTGCTGGGATTACAGGCTTGAGCCACTGCGCCTGGCTAGATTTTTTTTTTAGTTTTAGAGTGTCCATTTGATTCTTTTCTATAGATTGCAATTCTTCTTTTCCACCATTTTATTCAATTTTCTTTAATTTTATTTAACATTATTTGTAACAGTTATTTAAAGTTTTAATCTGCTAACTCCAATGTCTGAATCTTCTGGAGGGTCCACTTCTAATGCCTATTTCTTCTCTTGATTATTGGTTTTATTTGCCTTTTCAAATGTCATATGTACAAAATAAAATTTAAAAAAAATCCAAAACTTTTCTGGGCTTGTATAAATGGACTGTAAAGACTTTAGTTGATATTATTTCCCCCAGAGCATTTGCTCTTTCCTCTGTATAGGGCTGAGCATCTCCATCAAGTTGGGGATTGAACTGGGTTGGGGCTGAGTAGCAGCTTTAGGAGGACTCAGTTTGCCTCTGTGTTCAGTTGTCTCAAGGATGAAATCTGTGTCTGTTTCAGGCTCCTCCTTCAGTGGGACTCTGTTTCCCAATGATCTCATTCTGCTTTTCTATACCAGCACCTACAACCCCAGCCTCCCTGGTGCTCGGCAAATGTCCTAACAAGAAAAACAGCTGTGCATTCAGGCGAGATTTATTAATCATGCCAGCCACAGTGGATGTCAGAAGCTCTGCTGGTCTCTGTCTCTCTAAGCCAAGTCTGATTCTCATTAAGCCTGTGTGTAGACTCAGGAGTGCCCCCGAGACAAGAAAGCAACTCCTACTCCGAGCTTTTCTTGGAAAAACTTGTCCCTTTCTGTCATTTTAGTTCACCTGGCCCTCTGCTTCTATTGCTCTCCAGTGATTTTTTTTTTGTTTTTAATGATTTTGTACCTATCTGTTTTATTTTTCTTAACTTTAAAAATCCTGCAGCAGGAGAATGGCCTGCTACTCACTATTCTCTGCCCAGGAGCAGGACTTAATTCTGTTTTCACTATCTACTTTTTACTCCAGCCCCATTCCTTCCCCCACCACCCCCAATCTCATATCTGATGGGTGTCTGACCATTTTATGCCATTGCCATTTTACACACAAGCTACCTGAAGCCCAACTGAGGATCATTCAGTCACTGCCATAGTACTCTCCCCATCTCAGTTCACATGTGGGGCAGGATGCTTTAGGCCTGAGCTCCGAATGTGTCCTAGGGCTTCTGTCTGGCTCCTCCACATATTTGTGGAGTACTCAGTGTCATGCTTGGCATATGGTGGGCACTCAACATTTGAGTGGGTGTGGGGGCTGAGGGTAGGGGTTGCTAGCTGACCCCTGAAGGTGGAGGATAAGGGGCAGAGGGCTTGGAGGAGGGGAGTATGCCAGTTGTGGTTCTGAGCAGTGTCTGGTCAAATCACAGGAACATTTGGCCTGAGTGTGTGGAAAAGACTACAGGATGCCTGTGATGGTCCTCATGAAAACAGAGCAAGCTTAGAGGAAGAGGGCAGCTCCACTGGCACCACCCAGAAGGCCTTCCATCTGGAACTGCAGTGAGTGAGCACAGCCTGCTTGATCTTCTCTGGCCTGAGGAGGGAGAGGCTGTGAGTCTTCCCAGGTCCCAGGAAGCCTCTGCCTGGGTTGAGTAGAGCTAGACATGGGTGAGGAGGATCCTCAGAAGGCCAGAGGCTTGAGAGTTGCAGGCAACTCTACTCCACAGTGGCAGCTATGGCTGGAGAGCCCAGGCCTTGTTTTAGCCCAGCTCAGCTGAAAGGTTGAGCGGTGAAAGGGGAAAATACAAAAACCCAAGTGCTTGAATGGGGCCCTGTCCCCCAGCCAGGCCCAGATTTGCTAGAGCTGACTTCCCTGCAGAGGTCATTGCTGCATGGCCAGAGGTCCCTGGCAGAGGAGTGCTCAGGCCCAAGGCCCTGATCCTGAGTGAACATTTGTGTTATTTCCCTGATTTGCAGGGAACATCAGGCTGCTGGCTACTTGTTCCTCCCCCTGCAGTTTTATCTCCTACCCACTCCATCCACTCCATCCTTATTCCTGACCAAGTCTCCAGTAATTCTGGTTCATTCAAGAAAATGTGTATTGAGATCCTACTGACTGCCAGACCTTGTGCTAGGTTCTAGAGATACAAGACATCCAGACACAGTCCTGCTTCAGAGAACTACAGTTTACTCGGGGAGGTGGACGTGCAGACTCATGGCTGCAGTTTTATGTGATAAGTAATGAGAGTATTAGGAACAGGGATGGCTCAGAGGACAATCTACGTGATTGAGTGGATCAAGTAAGGAAGGCTGCATAGGAGAGGTGATTTTGGAGTTGGGTTTTGACATTTAAGTAGGAGTCTGTTAGGTACCCACAGAATCTTTGTGGCTCCAGTGCTGCCATCAAGGCATACATCTTCACAGTGCTGTGGAGGGACATCAAACAAGGCAAAGGCAGGGTTTCCCTGGGGCAGGGGGCAGACATGTTTGAATAGTCCACAAGGGGAGGTCCAGATAAAGCCAGACGGGGTGTCAGGTCTGCATGGTGGAGAGGACAGAGTGGTGGGAGAGTGGCAGGACTTGCTGGGCCAGCTGCATTGATCCAGGATTTGCAAATTCCATACTTGCTCAGTGATGGGCTCTGGGAATTTGCCCTGGGGGAGGGATGGAAGTTTGGAAAGGATCAGGCCCAGGAAGGGAGAGCCTTTCAGGGTTTCTGGGAGGGTCACCCTGCCTTGTGGTGGGGGGACATCTTGTGAAGAAAAGCCCCCCACACTAGGGAGCAGCGGGATCTGGCTGAGGCCCTGATATACCAGCGGCGAGAGCAGGCGGCGCTGATGGCCCTCCTGCATGGGAAGGCAGATAAGGAGACAGAAGCTTGGGCCAGGCTGCAGAAGATGGCCCTGATGTCCCCATGGGCCGGAGAGCGCCCCCTGGAAGACATTGAGGACAGCTGGAGCAAGTGGGAGTCCAGGGACAAGCAGGTAAGGCTGGGAGGGGAGCACAGGGAGGGGTGCGGGGACCCCCAACTCGCAGGCTTCACTCTTGGGCGTGGCTCCTGCAGGTGAGCAAAGTCTTGGGAGCGGCGTATAAGCCCAAGGAACGCTTGCGGAATACCAGGTTCCTGTCCATGAGGGTGCCGTACGGCTGGATGAAGCAGCAGGTGAGGCGGGATGGGGCGGCTCCCCAGGAGGCTGGGTCAGGGGCCAGGGAATCCCATGTCCACCGGCAGCCACCCTTGTGCCCACACAGCCCTTCAGTGGGGGTGGACGGGAGCATTTGTCCTTTAACAGGATTCTGGGCCATAGACAGTTCTGGGATGAGACTGATGTGTCTGGTTTGTTTGCCAGTGCCCTGGCTGAGGTCACTGGCGCAGCTTTTGTCCTTGAGAACAAGCCTCAAGGGCCTGTGGGACAAGGTCCCCCTTGGGCAGGGCCCCTGTCTATAGCCTCCAAGTATTTCCTATGGTCTGTGGCTGTCCATTTGCTGGTTAGCATATTTCCCACCTGTGTCCCCACTACCGTGGTGCCCAAACAGCAGACCAGGGTGTCGTGCCAGGCCCGTAGTAAGAGACAGGGTAAATAGAAGGAGTGGCTCTCCACTGGGGACAGAAAGGAGCAGGGGATGTTCGAAAGAGCAGATTAGAGCTCCAGATTTGAGATCCCAGCCTCTCCCAGCCTCCCTGTCCTTATCTGCCATGGGAGATAACACTGAAGGCCATGTCTCTGCAGGGCCCCCCTGTCCCGCGCTGGGGAGAGGCTGGTGTGAGATGGATTGCTCCAAGGAGCTCTTTGCACCTGGGCCTCACCCAGGGTCCAGCTCGAGGCCTCATTCGCAGAAGCAGACAGTCTCCTCACCAGCTCACAGGGTCGTCAGAAGCACCATAATTGGGTGGAGAGCAGGGCTGGGTGCCTGGCCTGGTGCAGGGTGGTTGCATGGGTCTGCAGACAACGGTGGTTAGTGGCAACCACAGTCCTCTGGACATGCCTTCTTGGCATGGGAAGACCTCAGGGCACCTGATCCTGGGTGTCCCTGGCTCCACCTGGTGCCCGTTCCCGCTCCCCACTCTGTTCCCTGCAGATCTCACCTCAGGTCTACCAAAGCCTGCACTTCAATGATCTGATGCCCACCCAGCAGCCCGACTTCCTGACCAGCAGGGGCCCAGACCAGCAGGACCAGCACATCCGCCTGGTAGCCCAGGATGTCCAGAAGGACCTGGTGCCCAGCAGGGAGCAGGCTGTGCTGCATACCATGGACAGCACGCCTGCAGCCACCTCCTCCCCATCTTCCTTGTTATCTGTCACCGCCTCAGCCTCCAGGCTGCTGGACTCCAGCTTGCCTGCCTTCCTGAGGCCCCAGTTCTCTTTCTTGCTGCGGCCCCAGTCGGCCTCCACGGCCCATTCCACCCCCTCAGTCCCATCCCCGGTGTCCAAGTCCACCCTGCAGAGGTCAGCAACCCCCAAGCACATTGTCTCCTCCCTCGAGCGGCCCCCAAGGCCTCTGAAGGCCACCTTCATGTCCTCTGTGAAGGAGGGCTCCCACGTCAGGTTCTGAGGTGCTCTGCCATCTTCTCTAGTCCTGCAGCAGGGCCACCAGGCCCATGGCGGGCCTGCATGTCCCTGGCTTATTCCCTACCAGACCCAGAGGATATGGCCCTTCCCCCGGCCGCCCCACTTGCCTCTCTGGGGAAGTCCACCTGTCTCCTAATCTTATCTTCTCTCTGGCCCCGCACATAGCCCTGGGGCAGAAAATAAATGTTCTCAGCTGTGGGCGTCCACAGGCGATGAGGTGGGGCTGTGTGTTCCTTGCCCACTTAGGTCCCTCCTTATCTGAGACCGTTCACATCCCCTGGCCCTGGCAGAGGCAGAGAGGAGAGTCCCTCTCCAAGGACACCTGGGCGTGGCTGGTTGGCTTGGAAACTTGGTTCAGCCTCATTGCAAGAGTGAGGCCTGGCAGCCATCTGGTGAGGGTCATGGCTGTTTGTCTTCTGCCCCTGCTGTCTGTCAGTCTTCCCTCATCATCAAACACTCCATCCCAAGCACCCTTTTCTGTCCTGTGTGCAGAGAGGGCTGGAAGCACGGTGGGCAGCACCCCTCGTGGCTCTGCCGCTGTCTGGCTATGGAGTCCCATGTGTCCTTCCCCTCTGGCCCAGAGTCACCTGTCCAGACCTCTGCTGGGCCGTCAGCCCTCTCGGCAGCTGGAGACCCCATTCTGGGGCATGTGGGGTCTTCTGGACACATCACCTGCGGCCTGAAGGGAGCCGGGGCTGCCCGCCGCTGCTGAGCAAGGAGGAGGTGGGCTATAGGCTTGGGGTTCTTGGGGGATCTGTCTGTCCCAGTGTCCCCACAGACCCTCCTGCCCAGTCCGAGGCTCAGCCCTGAGGGGCACCTGTGTCCTTTCTCATCTCTCTCTTTCTCCTTCCATCTCCCTTTACACTTCACAGCGGTGGACACACAGGCTGCCCGCCACCACTCTGCTGGGAGGTGTTTTGGTTCTTTTCGTTGTTTCTGAGAAGGAGTCTCACTCTGTCACCCAGGCTGGAGTGCAGTGGCGCGATCTCGGCTCACTGCAACCTCTGCCTCCCAGGTTCGAGTGATTCTCCTGTCTCAGCCTCTCGAGTAGCTGGGATTACAGGCATGCGCCACCACACCCAGCTGATTTTTGTATTTTCAGTAGAGACAGGGTTTCGCCATGTTGGCCAGGCTGGTCTCGAACTCCTGATCCCAAATGATCTGCCCACTTTGGCCTCCCAAAGTGCTGGAATTACAGGCATGAGCCACCGCGCCGGGTCTGCTGGGAGTTTCTGGGTCACCTGTGCCTCCTTCCTGGGATCACTGCATCCTCTCCTGTGTGAAGAAACTATGATCTGAGCCCTCACCGCTTGTTTCTTGCATTAAGGAGTCAGGGGCACCCAGGAGCCAGGCATTTTTGAGGCCAAAATCCATCTTCAGGTTGTATCCCAATTACCGTCTCTATCCGTTTCCTAGTGCTGCTGGAACGAAAGTACCATACTTGATGTCTTAAAACAACAGAAACTTATTGTCTCAGCTCTGGAGGCTGGAGGTCAAGGTGCCAACTTGGAAGAGGCTGAAGCTTACGTGTCAGTAGCTTCCCAGTA